AAAAAAAAAAAAAAAAAAAAGTACATAGTGTCTATCAAAGAGTATTGTTTATTTCTTCACTACAGGAAGATTTTCAATGGCTTTAACTGAGCAGTATTTTTTCCCTCTTATCAAATTCCAGTCAAAAAAGTCCACATTTATGACCACTGGTTAAAACTGCTTTGTGTGGCCTTTAAAAACAAAAAACCAAAAAAACCAAAACAAAAAAAACCCACCAATATTCACCATAACTATCATTAAAGTGTTTTAAAGACTGGGGAGAAATAAAGCAATAATAAAAAGTTAAAACATTTTAGACTGGCACTCTGCCGAAGTCCCTTTAATGCTTTTATATTTGAGTAAATAGTGGAAATCATTCAGATGAGAAATGTGTTGAAGGGCTCGGTGTGTTACTCCTGTCCTCTGTTAGGTTAACTCTGTTATCTCACATTCCTGAGTGCTTATGCAACTTATCTCTGCAAAGACAAACCTCCAAACATCTTTCAGAGACCAGCTTCTTTATTCTGTGCAGCAGATAGTGGCAGTTTTAAATTAACTCAGGTGGAAGGTGAAATCTTATTAACTAAACTAATAGAGTAAAGAGACACCTTAAGTTCCTCGTCTGTCCATCATGAAACAAATGCTGTTTGACTGCTTTGTGTTTAAACAAAGAAAGTATGTGAATGTTTCAGCACATAACAGCAGACTGAAGTTAGATTAATTCATTTTTCCACCTTAAAAAGCAGCCAGGTGAGGTGGTTCTTGTTCAAAGTGGACTTTGGGGGACAGGCCACATGTTTACATTCCAGGCAGCCTTAAAGCAGCTGAATTTCTCACAGAATTTGGTGAGAGATCTCCATTTTCCCCCCGTGGAATAACCTGCTTAGTATTCAGGCCAGCAGGGCAAACACAAGAAGAAACGGAATAAATACAGGCTGCTTGTTCCTGTGTGCACAAATCAGTACTGCACTCTGATGTCTTGTTGTCTACAACAGTGGCTTCCGTGAAGAATGAGAATTACAAGAATTTTAACTGAATTTGGAAAAACTGGGCTATTTGGAAAAAGCAAACTAAGCGTACAGTTTAAAACCTGCTGTGAGGTTTTATGTCTGACTGCAGAGGACAAAGGACGCAAAAATCACTGTTTTTAAAAGCGACTTTGCACTCTGACCTCGGAAACAAATTAAATGAGGCGATTTTACAATAGAATTTGTTAAAAAAAAATTCTGCATGTATAGCTGCTAATAATAATAATAAAAAAATATGTGGTGTAACCGAGGAACAGGCTGTCAGGAAAGAACAAATATTCTGTTTTGTTTTTTTTACGTCGAGGTCATGAAGAAATATTACAGTGGCTTCGGGTTTAAATTCTATTTGGCGAAACAGCAGTGAGTAGTGCAAAATTTATTAATTTTATTACAATTAAAATTGAACGCTGATGTAACTTTGTGGACGGAATAGAAAGGAGAGCTGTGTACAGCAGGACACAAATCCGCTTGTTTTTATTCAAATCTACACAGCTTTGGGCACGGAGATAAATTTGGAAGAATTTTGAGTAGAATTTGGTTTAACATGAACAGTTCTACAACGCTGATTTAAAAAAAAGCCCTTCCTAAAGCAAAACCTGGACGGGGAGTTATTGTGTGCCGAACTGAAGAATGGGCTGTAAAAATAGCGGGAAAATTAGATTATTACGTTTTAATCAGATGCGAACACCGAGAAGCTTATTCTAAATGTGAACGCAATTCGACAGGCAGTAGAAGGGCTCCCATTATTCTGGGTAAAACAATCGAACTTGGGAGCACAGGTCAGTGCAGAAGGCTCTGTGCACTCTGGAGCGTATTATCGGCGTGTTACTTGTCTATTTGGGTGCGTGTTTACCCACCTGGTTTGAGTTTTGGTGACATGTTGGTGATAAAAACAAGCACACGCACCTGACTGCTTTACGTCCTGCTAGCTGCTGTCTAGCTAAAAGTCACGGCGGGCTCAGCAGCGCTGCCGCCGATGTGTCCTCGGGGGGGGCCGACATGTCCCCAGTAACACTTCTAGTCCAAATCCCGAGAAACGCTCCGCTGCTGGAGGTTTTCCTTCTTTCTTGTCTTTCCCGATTTACAAATGGCGGGTTACAGTGCAGATAAACGGAGGTCCCTGCCGTCTCTCTGACACCCAGTCCCACCCGGGGAGCAACCGCGCACCGGCAGCTACCGGAGAGACCGAAAAGCACCGAGCGGGTAATCGAGCGTCCGAACGTCCGTCAGAGAGCTGGACACAACCGAGTCCAGCAGCTGCCTAAGAACCAATGTCACCATAAACACAAAGGCAGCATTTCCAGGAACTTTCCAGGAACACGGTCACGTGGTGCCACGATTTAAGGTGGACTGACGTATGCGGCTGTTGGTCCTCCTGTCTCTGTAAGGACCCACCTGGAGTCACTCACAGGCTCTCTCTCATTAAAATCAAACCAGGTGCTAATGCCCACACAGAAAACAAAGTGAAGATCACCCATGTTGCAGTGATGCATCTCTTAGTCTCAACTAGCGCCTCCTATATGTCACTGTATATAACACTTTAATAAATGATAGTTACCAATAGTGATGTGCGGATCGATCCTGAAATATCGATTCCTCCGATACCAATCATTTATGTTCTAGAATCGATTCTCACATTAAAACATCGATATTTTAGTAATTTAGAGTAAATTTGTAGTTCATCATTAACAGGAACACAGTGGGAAGAAACTATAACATTCGGATTGTCTACATTCAGAGGAACTACTTCCTCTTCCGCCTTTCATAGTCATGTGCGAAATACAGCTGTATAAATGTCTGGCAGCCCCTTGGTGTGCGCACTCGCAACAATGGCTGAGCCTAATTGTGCAGAAGTATTTTACCTCCACAAACAGCTGAGACGTGGTTTGCCATACATGTGGCAAAAAAAGTGCTCCAAGAGTGAGGTGTTGTGGCCATACTAGGGAGACATTCAAAGGGCTGGTGGGGGGGGGGGGATACATTTTACATGGTTTATTTATCAGATAAAATACTTTAAATCTCACCGTTATTATTGGCCAGCCGGGAAACAGCGGGGTGTCTGTTTTGGAGGAAGGAAGTTTCAGGGTTTATTAAGTAGTCATCATCATGGACTCATCCGATTAGAATGAGAATAAGCAGTCATCAATCATTTGCAGGTTTTGTCTTTTTAATTAGATAACGGGTAAAGGAAAGACACATGGACTGCTATCACTAAAAGGGACAAAGTATGATTTAAGTAACTCAAAATGATACATGAACTCAGGAGACTCAAAGAGAAACTCACCTCAGCTGCCGCCTGTGTGGGAGTGAAGAAAGAGTGAGGGGGTAGGTGAGTGCAGTTCTTATATAACGAGTGACAGGTGAGTGCAATTAAGGCCAAGCACCACCCCCAATCAAAGGTGAGGACAAGAAACAAAGTGCATCTGCCAGTAGGTGGCGGTAATGCACCTTTCAATTGTTTGCCAACCGCCAATATAACTGTAAGAAAGAAGAAGAAGAAGAAAGTGCATCTGATGAAGTGAATGTGCTGAAAGGTATGGAAGCCCGTTTCCGCCACTAAAAAAAAAA